AAACTTTTGTATCCAGAGTTTTGTTTCAAAATGCTTGCTTCGAGCGAAACTAGCCGTAAGGCGTTTTTCAAAATACTTTTAGCTCTACAATTTCCTTGGGAAGGTGAAAGTTAAATTTCTCCGTCAAACTTCATTTGGGAACGATGTAAAGTTTTTCTCCTTATACAAATTAATGTTCTCTATCGAACTACGCTAGAATCAACTCTTCATATCAAAAAATGAAGTTTTTATTGAAATTTTAAAAATAGGGCAAAAAACCCGAAAAAAACTTAAAAATTTTTTTAATCAAAAACTATAAATCCGGGAACTGAAAGCTTTGTTGAGACGTATACTTGGAAGTGTCCTCCACAAACTGCTGGAAAAAAACGGGTGGGGGGACCCCCCTTAATAACTCCTCCATTTCTTAGCCAAACTTCAAGGTTGTGTTTTTGTTTGATAGAGAAACGTTCTAAGTTTTATTTCGTACGATTGGAAACCCTTGTTAAAATTTGAAAAGATGTTTGGGTTTATTATCGTGAAATTCAGATATTTTGGGACTCGTTTTTAATAAATTATGTGCTGAAAAACTTTTTGAAAAGAATATAGCCATTGTTATCTGGAAAAGGTCAAAAAAGTAATAAAAACATTTTTCAGATAAAGTTAACTAATAAAAGGAAAAACTATTAGTGGAATTCTATAGAAAGAAGGTAGCCTTATAAACCGGAATAGTTTGAAAGCCTGTAAAAGGTTCTATCAGGCTATTGCAAAAGTCGCAATCTCCAGATCATGCTAATATGGAGAAATTAACTTCTTGTGGCAAAACTTTAAGCTGGACAAAACATTTGAATATGTGGGATTGTATAGCAACCTGAGTTCTACAAAATGAGACGTAATGCGACTCTGACAAAGATTCCATTTAATTATGACAAACTCAACAATCTTTACGCATTATTACAAGTAACTTACTTAAACAGAAAACATATGTTGTAAGTTTTATTATTTTTCCGTACCGATCCTTTTTTACACAAAAATTTCCAATCGTATGAAATATAACTTGGAACGTTTCTCTATCAAACAAAAAGATGATCTTGAAGTTTGATTAAGGAATGGCGAAGTTATTAAGATTCTTTTCCCGCCGGACTTTTGGGACACCCTGTAGGTTAATCATTGTTATCATATATAGTTCTCACATTCTGTGAGTATACAAACACAACAAAACTTTTTTCTCATTCTTTTTCTTCTAACGAGGGAAAGTCCCCAGCTGATTCACGCCGTTTTGTTTGGCATTTTGACTACATATGGGGGATATCATAAGGAAAAGTCTAAGAGGATTTGTGATGATGGCTTCTTTCAATAGTTATGAGTTTTTTCATTTCCGCTTGAGTAAGCTACTGTGTCACTAAAATGTGTGTAACTCAGTCACTAAAGGATAACCGCTAAAGCGGATTCCGTCCACTTCGGAGTACATCGGACGCAGTATGGGTACATAAATGGATGATTGCCAGAACTCAAAAGTTCCAAGAAAAAATACACATACTAGATATAGATATGAGTCGAGCATTCGATACAACTGATAGATATAAGCTAATGGTATCATTAAAAGAAATCATCGACGACGATAGTTGCAGAATGGTATAAACATTACTGAACAATACGACACTTGAAGCCAAAATACAAAACGCAACATCAGCGCCATTCACAACTAACATAGGTGCCCCGCAAGGAGATACACTTAGTCCAGTCCTATTCACAATCTACCTAGAACTAGCACTGAGAGCAATAAGAGCTAAATGCACCAGACCACTATAAGATAAAAATGTACCACCGGAAATCTGTTATGCTGACGACCACCCTCACCCTCATAAAAAATTCTCATTCAAGGGGACGAAAAGGAATTGCGTTATTATTGTTATCAGTCCCTGAGAATTTCAAGGACTAATTTTTTCAATTCAAGCCTATGTTTTTGTTTTGTTTGTTTTACACTTTATTCAGGAATAAAACGAGAGAAACAATAAAGAATAATATTCTGAAAAACTTTCCAAGACCCTTTGATATATAAAAAAATGGGTTTTTCATAAAAACACCCTCCGCTTACTGAAGTCATCGCGCAAAAATTCAATTACTCATTCTAATTTAAAGTTCAGGATGACAAATTTTCTGTTGAAAATAGCAGACTTCTGGAGTTTTAACGAGAAAAAAGATTAGCCCTTGAAAAGGTGTCTCATTTTAATCAGAAATTTGCGGACTACAACCATACCTCATTAAGAAAGGCTTTTGTTATTTTTTAGGGTTTCTGAAAAACTGATTTTCTGGAAATCCGGTCTCTGGACGCCTAAGGGCCTAAACGGATGCCATATTAGGATTCAGCATAGTCGATTACCGATTGTCCACTAAATTTCGAAAATAAATCGATTGCACACTTGAAGGCTTTTCCTCGTCAGACACAGTATATCTGTACTAACACAGAATTTTATACATTTCCGCTTGTCTTTAACATGGGTAACAGACAGTATAACTGTACTAAGGTGGAATTCTATAGTTACCAATTCTATAGATTTTCGCTTGTGTTTAATTTGGTTCACAGATCATGTGTGAGCCAAATTAACAACAACGACGAGCGGAAATGTATAGAATTTGATGTTAGTGCAGATATATTACTAATATATCTGCACTAACATCAAATTCTATACATTTCCGCTTGTATTTAGCTTGACTGATGCATAGTATATGTGCACTAACGTAGAATTCTGTAGAAGTCGGACATCCCTCTTTTGATGCCAATCGATAGAGTATTTCAATTAGTATCTAAAAGAAACTCGGGCTACTGTTGACTGCGTTATTCCGATTTGACCCGCCGATGGAGTTTTGGATCAAAATGTATTTTTAAAAGCGTTTTAAATCAAATTTCGCTCGAAAGGAAATTTCCAAGGTATATGCTTGGCGTTCTTTTCCTCGATTCCATTGCGATATTTATCGATTCACTATCAAATCTCTACATTACGTTTCCTACGATTGAAAACGTGCTACGTCTCATGCTAAAACTTCAGGCGTAAGTAGGAATCAGTAACTGGAATGAGATCACACAGTCTTGTCGATAAGCTATTGACTCAACGGTGTTTGGCGCCCACATTCAGATCTCCGTGTTTTGAGCACCCTCAAAAGGCTTTACAGACTGTTCGAATTTACCTCATATACTCTACTGTTTTGATTTGATGTTTCATATGTTCCACTTTGATCAATAATTAGACTCTTGTCTTCTTCTTCTTCGTCATTAAAATCAACGTCAACTGTTTTTGTTTGTGTTACATCTGATGAGTGTGTTACCGTGGCCGTATCAGTGTTTCTTCTTGGTCTTTAGAGCACAGCAGTGTTTGATCAACAGTCAGAGCGTAGACTACCAAGGGAAATGTAGACAAAAAAATTAACACACGAAAGTTTTTATTTTACTCTAAAAACGCAACATTGTCGTTTTGTAAAACACAGGCAAAACACATCTTTAGCTTGTTTAGCAAAAAAGGATTTGTTTATAGGTTACAATAACGCTGAGTGTTATTTTATTTGGCTGGTTGAAGTTGGCCATTGACACATTTGTACATACTAGGCTTGTAACATGCATGTGGGTTATCACCACAGGCTAATTCACCTTTAAGACACAAATATTTGTTGTTATGACATTGGTACATATTTGTATCAAAAATAGCACCACCACAATTATTTGATTGTGTATTTGGCCCTGCTGTCGTTGGTGTTGGATTAACCACAGTTTCTCCGTTGGGACAGAGAATGATTTCATAATTTGCAGCCTTACATTGATAGGTGCCTTTTAATAAAGTATCAAAGAAAGAAAGAAATTTGAATGAATGAATGAACAAATGCAATGGTATTAGTAGAGTGAGGAGGAGAAAACCTACTTCAAACAGCTCCTTGCGAGAATAAAATGATGAAGCGACTTTACGGTAGTTATGTGAGGGTGATCGGTTTAACCTTGCTGTATTGAATAAATATCAAGGCATTACAGATTCGTGAAGCGCCAGCGTTTACTAATTTTTATACTGAGAGAATTCTCATTATTAGGATGAACTCTTCGAACTCGGTCACAATTTAAAGATAAATAGTGTGTCAGAATAAGATACTATAAGTGCACGGGAAAAGGAGCAGTGGTCAAATAAATTGAAAAACTTAGGGGTTCGACTATAAAACTTCATCTTCTACTTCTTTGTAGACAAAACACAAAATACATACTTGCAAAATCATCAAACTGCCAGCTGTATGCATCTGCGCATTGTGATTTAAATACTTGATCGTATCGTTGATTGTCTGTTGATCGTGGCCATCGTTCTACAAAACATTTTCCACCCGGTGTCACATTGTCATGTGGTGATACACAATAATTACGATCACAACTACAGCAGACCAGTGAACGTGTATCTTCATTATTATAAATATTTTGTAAATGTTGATGTTTAGCACGTTGTCCGGGATTATGTATTGCTGCGCAGATCGATGCACATACACGGCCACCATTACCATCCTCCATTGATAATTCTGGCGGACAACGGTTCATGTTGAATGTACATGTAGCTGAACCACAATTGTATTTGCCTAATTCTGGATTATTAACCATTTGATACTGTCCGGGAATGGGTCGCATCGTCATTGCAATACTATGACCATCAACATTACTTAAATCATAGTAATCACTACCACCCCAACCGTTCAATGTAAATTCAGCGATAGTTGCCGGTGGTTGACCTCCAATGCCTCTACATTCCATTTGAAAATTGTTAACACCGGCACCACAATCACCTAAATATGAAATAATTTCACAACTTCCGCTATTCTATCTCTCCTTTGACGCAATACAGACCTGTAGCACATCTGAACTGTCCATTCACATTTCGACATCCTGTTCTTGGCCAAAATCGACCTGCTTCCCATCCATCTGGAACCGAAATATCTCTGGTTGATTTGGCACCTAATTCAAATCCACCATTCATGATCAGGGGATTTCCTTGTACACCCATCCAAACTGTTTGACTGCATTGATTAACGAAACGAAAGTTTCGACCAGCACAATAGTTAATGGAAATAGATATAACTGCAAATAAAATAAAATGCATTTTCGTCATCTACAATATAGAGTGAAGTGCAAAGAGAAAGTATTTATTGTTGCCCAATAAAGTTTTAAAAGTCTGTGTAGAGGTGTGATCAAAAATAACTGGTTTTATATCTATCTGTGGATCTATTTTTTCACTCTTAGAGTCAAGGATAGGAATGATCGTAAAATTTCTAATTTGAAAGACACACATCAACACATGCATTTCCTTTTTTTCGAATAATTTTTCACTGTAAAGATAAATTTTTAGTACTCATGAATATCAATTTCAAGTACTTTTGAAAATAAAATTGAAAGATTAAAGTATCAGATTTTAAAAAACAAAATTTCGTATCATTATAAATATAAGAGTGACAAACAAACAGCTGCTGTTACTCTAACATTTATATTCAAATTATTACCCCTCGACAAGATAAATATTTCGTATCATTACTTTTTCCCGCACTTCAGGAAAACAACAACAAAAAAAGAAACTTAAAATACATTCTTGATCATAAAAATATTTGACCCTCAGTACATTCAGTGCACTAAAATTTAAAGCTAGGTTCTGAAAACAACATCTGTCGTAGATCTCATGCATTTCACGTCTGTCTCACGTAAAGACATCTCTAGTCGGACTTCTTATGTAGCAAGAAAGCAAGATCTTGTGATATTTTTTGCATTTACTGCAAGAAATATACTAATACCATCAGAAGTACCACATATTAAATATATAACCCTGTGGTTCAGTTGGTAGAATGTGTGCCTGCTATGCACAAGGCTGCTGGTTTGAATCGGACCAGAGTACGGCTATTTTTCCTTTTAAGACTGGACCTAGAAATATTTGAAATAGCCATGATTCAGCGTCTCCGTGACTTATACTCATCGATCTATTTTGAAGCCAACCATAAATCCAACGCCTAAGTTCTAACGGCATATCTAATTCTTCTAACGTTTTCAAAAGCGCCGGGTAC